AATGATTAACACCAGTCAACGCGTTATAGTGAAGGTCGAGGCCGGTCAACGCATCGATAATTTCGCCAAAATAAGGCTAAGGAAAAGTTCTAGGTTAAAGGATGATCCCTGGGAATTCAATCGTGATTCAGATATGAATTCCTAACGAAGATGATCAGTTTAACATCGATTCAATAACACGAGCTAATTCAGAAACCTACACTCCAGTTCCAATTCAAGATTTCAACATCGGTCAGACGATAAACGCGGCACTGGAAGAATTTCAGCTACTCGACAAAATACTGAATAGACTGAAAGATGAAGAAGTTTAAGAATTGAAGGCTGGGTCTATCATATCAAAAGTATTTTAGGCTCCTCTATTAAAGAATGAGACTATGAGTTGTCAAATTAAAGCATTAAATTGTTCCATTATCTGAACCCGTCCCGCTTTACCCCATTCAAAATAATCCAAAGGAATAATGTTATTCTATTGGAATAAGTATCCTACTCAGCCTCACCTTATCCAAATCAATAAAACCCCCTAATGAAGACAATTGTTATTTTCTTTTGTTTCCAGCTTTGTTGATTTTGGCTTAAAAATAGGATTTTGGTCCTACATGTTACTGGGCAACCTTGTTCATATTCTAGTTTCTTGTTTTTAGATTCTGGGCTTCTCGTACACACAGCCACTAATTACTAGAATTTGAGAGTGCGTGAAAGAATCAATGTGTCATCAAATCAATCCAACGCCTACCTATCAACCGAACAAGGTAAGAAGCATAATTGACAATCCTCCATCTTCGGGCATTTTTCATTCGAAGAATAATTGCATGCGTTTATCATTTACCTTGTTGGGCACCTGTAAATACGGATAGAGGATTTGCTCCTTGAATTGGGCTAATGCAATTAGAATATTTTGTGATCATTTGTAATCAATTCCCTGTACAAAAATTACATCATAAATTGAAGAGCTTTCTGCAGAATAAGTTAAATTACATCGTAAATTGAATAGCTTTCTGCAGGATAATTTGCAATTAGAATATTTTTGAGACCATCACCCAACTTAGGCAGCCTTCATCTGTCATGCCCTCAAGTGCTTTGATTTTGAGCGCCTTGTCAATAAAGACGGCACAGAACCGCCCAAGTTGTAGCAACTTCGACAGAAAGCAAGCCCAATGGTCAAACATCCATTGCCTAACCTATTGTCAATTCAGATTGGATCGAGTGGAAACAAAAGGAAAAATTTTTCCAGATAATCACAGTTTTATTACAATTTTATATCATCATTATCTATTTTACATGAATAAATATACTACTAATAATTATTTTTATCTTAAATTTTAGGTTATATCAAGAAATATTGAATAACCAAGATCTCATATCTCAACAAAGCCCAAATGCCCAAGCCAAGAGAAGAATCGGCCAGAAAATGAAGAAATGAAGCTATCGATACCCGTGTCGATAGCGGTATAGATAATTCCTGCTTTGGATCAAATCACAAATCTCAGAACAAACCCTAATGGTGTGTTTGGGAGTTTACTAAGGGAATGGAAGGAAAGGTAAACAAAGGGAATGGAAGGGAAGAGAATTGTAATATGTTGTTTGGGAGTTGAGTAAGGTGAATGAAGATGAAATTAATATAACTTGTTTGGGAGTAATAATGGAGGGAAGGGAAAAGAATGAAATATATGTAAATTTACACAAATGACCTTATACTAATAATACAGCAACCCTTTTATTTGTTTTGATGGGGGGTAAGAATGTCATTACACCTTTTACCCTCCTTTACCCTCCTCTACCGCTCGAATCGGGGAAGAAAGAAAACCAAGCAATTTTACCCTCTGTTCCCCTTCCTTCCTCCTCTCTACCCTCCTTACAAAAACTCTCAAACAAGGTGAAAGCTGCATTTCTCTTCCCCTCCCCCTCTCTACCCTCTGTCCAAACAGGGCATAAAAGAAAATCCCAACCACCAACTAGATAATCAATGGTTGTGATTATGTAGTGGTCTCTCCATTACTTTTTAGATAGTGGAGAGGATCTGAATCCCTCTAGGGCAGCCACATCTCGTCAAACATGATTGGCACTTGAAAATGTCTTCAATACACCATGACATGCTTGTATGATGCGTCGCGTCTTAGAATGCAACTTTCATCAATCCCACAAGAGGCTCTCTCTATTCTTAATTATGTAGAAAAGAAGAGATCAATTGCAGATCAATTGGCCATGAGCCTTCATGTTGTGCCAGAGCAAGAGATGATTCTCTATATTCTCAATGGTCTAGATCCCCATTTCTCGACCTTCGCAACAATAATTCAAACTCACAACGTGTCCGAGACTCTCACAGTCGATGGGCTTCTTGGATTGCTCATTGAGGAAGAACAAAAGCCTAGAGGCATCCCACGAATAACTTCTTCATGTAGCCCATGTAGCAAGATGACAAAAGGGCCTCCAACACGACACCAACAGCACATGAATCGATCTCCTCATGGGTAGCAGCAGGCTTATAAACACCAACTGTGGGTAAAGAAGCAATACATATGGACTTCAATTCCAACAACCCAACAGAGGGTACAATCACGGTGCAGGCAGCGAAGGATATGGCAATATTATATTATTATTAAAAATGTAATATTATATTATATAATAATTACTGTAATTTAAATGGGATAATTTGACATCATGACTCCTTATTAAAGTATAGGGAAAAATATCTCTAGGCCCCAAAAGCAGAAACTTCATGTGACAATGTCCCTCAAAGTTTTCCCCATGTGGATCAGCCCCTTGAAGTGGACACTTTGTACTGCAGTCCCTTTTTATCAATTATCACATGCCAGCTAAGCTAAAATTCCCAAACTATCATTATCCTCTCTCCTCAATCTCTCTGACCCAGCACTCATATCATCTCCCCTCTCTCTCTCTCTCTCATCTCCTCTCTCTCTCTCTCTCTCTCACCTCTCTCTAAAACTAAGAGCTTTCTCAAGCTCGTCATCCTGGCCGAGACACACAGAGCATTAATCTATTAGGTAGAAGAAGAAAAGAAAAAAAAGAAAAAAAAAGATAAGGAGAAGTAGAGTAGAAGGGGAATGAAGAGAAATGCCGTAATTAGGAAAGAACGAAAATGTGTATTAATGTATCTCTATGAATGAAATTGACACGGTGCCGCCGAGCGATATTCGAAGCAATATAACGAGAGGTAGAAAATGAGCCCAAATGAAAGGAAGATACCGTGTGATAGACAATATAAAGGGCTACACACCGGCGCAGACGGTAGTGAAAACGGAGACCGGAGGTGGCCGTAAAACACGCGCGAAGTCGGCACGGCGCTGCTGTTTTCTGCTCGCTGCTGCCGTCGAGCGATGTTTCGGATGTTACCGAGAGAGATAGAGAATGAGTTAGAGCGTGATACAAATTGAAGGTGATAGGCAACATGTAGGGCTACTCACCAAAGAAGAAATCGGCGGAAACGGAGATTGGAGGTGATCAGAAAGTGCGTGCGAAGTCGGCACAAAACTATAGTTTTCTGCAGTGCAATTTCTCGCCGTTCGGGTTTGTTCTTCGCTGTTCGGAGATTTTTGCCACTGTCCGGGCTTACCGGAGGTGGGAGGAGGTTGCCGGGGTCGTCGGGGTGTTTCGGTGGGCTCCGTCGGAGGTAGGAGGAGCTTTTCTCCGTTCCCAAGAGCCTAGAACTAAAATGAATTAGAGCTAGAACTAGCTAGAACTAGCAAGATAGAAGCTAGAACTGGGGGTATACAAGCTAGAACTAGGGTAATAGAAGCTAGAGCTAACGTAGAATGTAAAAAACCCTTGTTGGGTTTAGAACTAGCAAGATAGAAGCTAGAACTGGGGGTATACAAGCTAGAACTAGGGGAATAGAAGATAGAACTAACGTAGAAGAAAGAACTAGCAAGTGTGCATGTAAAAAACCCTTGTTGGGTTTAGAACTAGCAAGATAGAAGCTAGAACTGGGGATATACAAGCTAGAACTAGGGGAATAGAAGCTGGAACTAACGTAGAAGAAAGAACTAACAAGTGTTTTACATGCACACTTGCTAGTTCTTTCTTCTACGTTAGTTCTAACTTCTATTCCCCTAGTTCTAGCTTGTATACCCCCAATTCTAGCTTCTATCTTGCTAGTTCTAAACCCAACAAGGGTTTTTTACATGCACACTTGCTAGTTCTTTCTTCTACGTTAGTTCTAGCTTCTATTCCCCTAGTTCTAGCTTGTATACCCCCAGTTCTAGCTTTTATCTTGCTAGTTCTAAACCTAACAAAGGTGTTTTACATGCACACTTGCTAGTTCTTTCTTCTACGTTAGTTCTAGCATCTATTCTCCTAGTTCTAGCTTGTATACCCCCAGTTCTAGCTTCTATCTTGCTAGTTCTAAACCCAACAAGAGTTTTTTACATGCACACTTGCTAGTTTTTTCTTCTACGTTAGTTTTAGCTTCTATTCCCCTAGTTCTAGCTTGTATACCCCCAGTTCTAGCATCTATCTTGCTAGTTCTAAACCCAACAAGGGTTTTTTACATGCACACTTGCTAGTTCTTTCTTCTACGTTAGTTCTAGCTTCTATTCCCCTAGTTTTAGCTTGTATACCCCCAGTTCTAGCTTCTATCTTGCTAGTTCTAAACCCAACAAGGGTTGAGGTATCAAAAGTGACTACATCTCCAAAATGCTGGTAGGCCATCCTTGATCTCCCGTCAACCCAAAACATAGTTTTTGCACAATTATTACTATCAATCTGGAATGCATAAAAGAACATAGGATTCTCAGCTTGTAGTTGTTGAAAGTGACTTAGAGTCGTTGAGATATCACAATAAAAAAGAGACATTCTTTGGCGCGTTGCAAAGTTGCTTAGGTCCCTCCCCGTGAATGATAAATTACGAACCCCTCCACGTTGAGATGTAATGAAGTCCCTAATATGCTTTGTTGAAATATTTTGCTCACGCATGGTTTGTATAAGGTCGGCTTCTTCATGTTGAAATATTTTGCTCACGCATGGTTTGTATAAGGTCGGCTTCTTCATCTCCAATCTTTCGCCGACACCGATAGAAACGAGATTTTGAGGGGCTCGGGTATAAGGTCGGCTTCTTCATCTCCAATCTTTCGCCGACACCGATAGAAACGAGATTTTGAGGGGCTCGGTACTAATTCATGGTTGTGCTTCTTCTCAAATGATGATATGATCCAATTTTTTCCATCATCTAATTTCACACGCATACTTGCTTTGCAACCAGTTCGAATGCTAGATATCTCTTTCAAAGGACTTTTCTCGAATGTGTTATCCCTAAGTAATGGCTCCTTCCTTTTGCTTTTAGAAAACCTCTCATGAGAGCAAGTAAGTACTTGCATTGTGATGACATTCTTTCTCTTAGACAAATAATTAGATCCTTTTCTAATCCCAAACCCAATGAATTTTGCATAAGCACTATAATAATTCATTGCTTCCTCCAAACTTTTGAACATCATACCGATCTTCGGTTCATCAATACATGGCATGTGACTCAAGTTTTCTTCTAAATGTTCATCTTCATGTGGCTGAATCTCTTGCATCGTCTTTTCTATTTCTTCATTTGCACGAAAAGATCATTGTCTACATATTCCCCTAATCTTGCCATGAGACAACCTGTAACCATAATGAAAGATTATTAGATTACTTCATAGATGGAGAAAAATTTAATATAGGGTAAATTGAGCTCACAGTTGATAAAATAAAAATAACAAGTGGAAGGGGAAATCTATATTTAATAGTTACTAACAAACTAAGAACACTGGTTAATAAGATACATTGTCATTACTAGATGTACTATCTTGGTTCACAAGACTTTTGTATGTGTCATGATTTTTGTATGTATTAGATTGGAAACTTACTAGAGATGCATACTTAGCTGTCTTATATTGCAATTTTAACCACTGAAAAGATGGTACTTTTCTTTTATAATGGCTTTGTAGGACTTGGTTTACTAAAAATAAAATAAAACCAAACAAATTAAGCATGTATTGTGGCAGAAATAAACTGGAAATTTCTTGAAATAATATATTTGTGAATAAATCAATAGATCCAAGAGCCTGGCGAAATTGACCTCAACCCTTGATGATGAGAAATGGAAGTCAATGGTATTCTAAAAGGCTTTCTGAGAGTCTTAATGAATGAATGAATACCCGTTCAACAGTCAAAATGAAGGTGAAGACATTGATTAGTAAAGCAAGAGCTTCTAAAGACTTAGTCAAAATAAAGCATGCGCAAATCATCACGCTGTTGCATAGTTATGAAACAAATCACACTTGTAGATATGCAGTGCTATCACCTAAAACTACCAATTTTCCCTTCAAAATAGTTTTTCGTTCATTTAGCCTTCCAAGCTTCTTACCAATGAAACAGTCATGCATCTAAAAAAATAATAATGCTTAATGATATCATAAGGCATGCTCACTGAGTATCAACTATGCTTTCAAAATGTTCTAAGCTTTATAAGTATATCAAGGACTTTAGTTTAGTTTCAAGAATTATTAATCAAAGCATAGTTAGATGGCTGATCACTCAACTTTTGCTGATGCCGACTTCTGATTGGGCTCGTCCTCTGATTTGGTTCCGAATCGGAATCTGGTGGCAAGGATAGGTGGCGGAGGACGACGGATCTCAAGCGAGTGGACGGACGGTGGATCTTTGGCCAGCGGGAGGCGACCTCAAGCGAGTGGACGGACGGCGCGATTGAAAAAAGACGGTGATCGAAAGAAGACGGCGATCGAAATAAGGCTGTGACGTTTTTGCTACCGAAGCGATTGAAAGAAGACCGCGATCGAAAGAAGGTGGTGACGTTTTTGCTACCGAATCAATTAAAGAGAAATTACCTATTTTGTGTTGATTTATTTTTCCGAAAATACCCTTGTAGCAATTAATTCATGCCACATCATCTAAACAAAATCTTGATATTAAAACTTAATCCAACGGTTAAAAACGTTGGTGGACAATGACCCTTATCAACTTAAGTTGACAAGAGTTTCTCTCTCTCTCTCTCTCTCTCTCTCTATATATATATATATATATATATATATATATATATA